CCAGTGTATACGTAACCCGTCTAATATCTCCATACCAAAGAATATTGCTAATAAGTAACATGTAGAGTGTAAACTTAGAATTTTTTTTTTTTAGCGCTAATCTCTGAGTAGGCTCTGAAGAAGTAGACTTAAGTTTACACATTAAAATTTGTAGGAAATTACGAAAAGATTGTCGCTGCTGTGGGAATCGAACCCACGTCTACGGCATTCGCGGCCTGACGAAATCTTAACGTCTTTTATCTACACTGTTTTTTTTAGCATTTGAAGCAATTATTGGCTCATCCATTGCTATATCCTTTCCAGCATACAAACGAGTGTAAACTTATTTCAATACAGGAGAAACATGTCGGCACTGACGAGCTGGGCGTCTGTGTATAACTATAAACAACATACAATTGATGAGAAAATGATTTGAATGATACCTTTATCATCAAATCTTCAATAAATAAAAAAATAATTATTATTCAAAATGTAAATGAATAATCTAAGTCTGCATGTATCACAATTCTTGAAAGCTATACGGAAAAAATATTTATAGTACAAGTAATTACTTTCGTATTATAACAAATTTAAGATAAATTAAGATAATAGACAAGTTTTGTTCGTTTTCGGGAGTAAGCGACAAGTCAGCTGATAGAAAGTGATTTCTGTCGTGCGTAGTCATCAAAAACGTTCAAAAGTGTAGACCCCGATTACCTCACTCACCAACCGCCAGCTCGCTTGCCCTCTTCTCACATAAAAAAATACTCTGTATGGCACAAATAATGGGTGCCCAAGCAAGGAAAAGTCGTTACTATTCCTTTCCTTGGGATTTTTAGCCGATTTCAGAAAGGAAGAGGTTATCAATTTGGATTCAATTTTTTATATTTTAAATACTTCAGGCCGTCATTTGTAAACTGATTTGAAAAAAAAATTTTTTTTTTTGTTGGAAAGGAGATATTTTAAGGACTTTTTTCTAAGGACATCAAAATGAGAAAGGGCTATTTGAAGTCAATGGGAATTTTTTAGCAAAATTCTATGCATATTATACCCCTTTTTAAGGGTGTTTAAATTAATAATAAATAAATAAATGAAAATATATTAATAAGCGAGGTATATTTGTCTATAATTAGGAGTAGAAATAGTGTAGTTTTGGCTAAATGAATGAAAAATAATATTAAAATTCTAAGTTTAAGTTTTGTGAATGCTTGCTAAATACCTGTTTTAAACACGTTTTTTTAATAATGAAACAAAAAGAGACTACTAAATAATGTAATTTGGGAAGTTCAGTGTCAAAGCCATTAATCATACTCTACTCAGAGTTCACACTAAATATATTACTATACTAATATATTAATTAATTTTTATTTAAACGTTAAAACATTATGTCTGTGCAAAAACACTTTATAATCATTGGTGACCTAAACACTGATTTTTTAAAACAACCTTCACGTTCTCTAAGACTTCAAACAATAGTTGAGTCTGTAGATCTCACCATTTTACCGTTAAAAGCAACAAACAAATCACAAAATCAACGCTGATGAAATGACTGTCTTATTGATCTTATTTTAACGAATACTCTTGACCGTGTGGAACTGGAAACGCATGGTCAACTTCCCACTCCAGGATTCTCTAGTCACGACCTAATTTCGCACCCTGCGCAGAACAACGTGACACCGGCCGGTTCAATTTTTTTTTTTTTTTCGTTTTGGTTATAGTTTATAGATAGCAGTTGCTATTACAATTTTTGAGGTTTACATATAATATCATTAGGTATATATAATAATAAGAATAAATAATTGTATAAATTTAGGAAATAAGAGGTTTCATGTGTAATAATGACGTTTTTCAACGGAAAATGGCATAATGGTCACAAGCTCATAATTATATACACGTTTATATAACATTGTTTAACGGAACATTCCAAAAAATAATAGTTCACACGTTCATATTATATAACGTTGATCTACTAAAAACTCAGCTAATCTGTATGGCATAAACGCATAGAAAAAAGTGCTTTTCTACGGAAAAACCAAAACAGTAGGACTGATACTTCCGTAAAAATTTGTAATTTTCTAAATAAACTTTTATTTTTTGTAATTTTAATACTTAAATATAAGCCGCAAATGTTCTTAATATTGTTACTTATTTGACCAGTCAAAATATTAAATAACTACCAATATAACTTATAGAAGTGTCAAAAATAAAGCCATAAGATTAAGAATATCGTTTGCTTGTTTACCCGAGATCAAAATTATTATTGCAATAATTATCATTTGACACTAATAGAGTATTTTGCTTTTCTCTATTACATTAGTAAGTCTAGTCTAGTCCTAAAGATACTCCCGTTTATGTATATTACCACAATTTCATAAAATTGAACAGGAAGAGGCTCCTTGACGATGCTTCTAATACAAATTTTACTCCCTTTGCAATGGCTTCTAAGGCTGACGGAAAGTTGTCTATACTCAATAACATAGTTCATAGGTTATATAATGCCCATGCTCCGGTCCTTAAAGTAAAATTGAAAAGGCCACCGGCTCCTTGGATGGCAAACGTACGAAAAGCAATGGCTAGGCGAAATCGGGCTTACTCTCAGTTTAAGAACAATCGTAGTGAAAAAAACTGGGCAGCTTTCAAACAAGCCAGAAATAGGTGTAATCCATAATAATACAATAAACTCTTCTCCAGTATGAGTGGAAATTTCTAAATTCTTTTGGTGTCTCTAATACATCTAGTGTTTGTGATTCTTCTATTTCCTCCGATGATATTGACAAACATTTTATCTCTGTTTCTCTAATGGACCCTATAATACAAACCGTGCTCATGTTAAAGCTTATATAGCTTCCACTACACTTCCACACTCTCAGGAATTTAATTTTTCTCCAGTCACCGAAGAAGAGACTGTGATGATGTGAGTAGAATTATGATAGTGAACTTAGACCCGTAGACCCGTCTGCTCGTTTGGCTACTTTTCGCATATAAAAAAAATCCGTACATAAAAATTGACCCACATTACTACTAGCGCCGCAGTAGTATAGTACTAGCAAAAGACCTAAACCCCACCGCTAAGTTTCAAATATCAAGTAGGATTATAATGGGAACTTATTAAATTTTCTTGTTCCTGCTGTAACTCACATTATAAACTTTTCCCTTGAGTCAGGTCGTATCCATTGGAAAAAAGCATTAGATATTAATATTCTATATTAGATTAGGTATGGAAGATAAGAAAGTGACAGTGATAGTGCTGGTCGAATTTTCTAACGCTTTTAACACAGTTGATCATGATAACCTCCTCGCCGTAAGCGTAAGCCTGCTCAGTGCTAAGGTTCGCTCCCGCAGCTGTTCGCGGGCATCAGCAGTCGGTCATTGTGGGACAAAAGTCTGGTGTACCGCAAGGCAGTATTCTTTCTCCCATAAAGTTCTCAGTTATGGGATATATTATATATGGGATATATCTCAGTTATTCTCAGTTTTTATAAACTCAATAACATCATACCTTCAGGCTGATATTGGTGACCTCCCTTACGCGTTTGCTAAATTAAATTCAAACTTGAGCGTTATTCACAACTGGTCAATGCGTTATGGAATATCTATTAACCCGTATAAATGCTCAGCAATTCTTGTGGGAAGCAATAGATTGTTGGCTAAAATTCGTTATCCAACTCAATTAAAAACCTGAGCCTATTTATGGACAGTACAATGAGTTGGGGAGTACAAGTCACTGAAGTTAGCCGTAAAGTCTTTGTAACTTTACGAACCATTTATCGTCTGAAGAATTTTTACCCTTTCAAGATTAAGCTCTTACTTGTGCAAACGCTTAATCTACCAATAATTGATTACGCGGATGTTTGTTACCCAGACTTGAACAGTGACCTTCTTAACAAACCAGAGCGCATCCAACACCTGCATTAGATACATTTTTGACCTTCGAAAACATGATCATATTACTCCCTATCGCTTTCGTCTGAAATAGTTAACAGTCGAACAAAGGCATAACTCTAGAATTCTCCTTATTATTTTCTCGATCTTAAACGATCCTATTTCTCCATGTTATCTTAAAGATAAATATAAATACATCTCTGAACAATGAAAGAGATCTCCGTTCCTCAGCTAACCTAAAGATTACTATTCCTATATACATATACACACACACACACACACATATATATATATATATATATATATATATATATATATATATATATATATATATATATATATATATATATATATATATATGTGTGTGTGTGTGTGTGTGTGTGTGTTTAAGAACTTATATGTTATATATACCAATACATATAAATCATATAATGTACACATGTAATATATTAGGTTTTAAATTACCATGTGTACATGTAATTTAACCTACACTTTACCCCTTTCTCAGCACGCCCCGGGTTGACTGAGAGAGAATGCCTCAAGGCATTAAATTCACCATATTTAATCCTTTTTTTAAGATAATTGCAATAAAGAATAAATAAAATATATAATAATAGTTATATCTGGGTGCAGCCGTATAAAGGAACATCTTTGTGGTCAACCAAAGTGGCGTAGGAATGACAGCTTTCCCATCTCTAAGTTTTACCAGCCTAATCATCGGATTGACTTACCTGATTTCTATAAGACTTTCAATATAAATGAAGATAAATAGAAGATGTTTCAGAAAGAGCTACTTTTTTACTTTCAGATGTATAAACCGATATTATTAATTGACTTTCGGGAATCCTTGTGCACTCCTTCCAAAACATTCGGGTCCACGTATCTACATACGTCGATTACAGATACTTTTGGCAAGGTTGGATAAACATTTGCAATTAGCCCATAAACGCAGCTGTTATCTTACTACAAACGAGCATTAAACATTGAATCGGAAATCACTCAAAGTATTACTGCGCATTTAAATTGAACGTTACAGAGTTTCAAGAGTATATAAGTTCCTAAGTTAGACATTGATGTAGTATCATTACATTACATTGCAGTTTGTTAACACGAGAAATTAAAAGTAAATTTGTGGAAAAATGGCAGCATTGGTAAGTTGTGGTTCTTTACAATTACTGTTTATAATACCAACATCTGATGGAGGATGTTCGATGTATTTATATATTCTCTTAGATAAAGGGAAAGCCCCTATGATACCCCTTGCTCATACGTGCAATAGTGAAGACTGTTGCGTGACCCTACCACAGTGAAATAATGGTGCACATAAAATTCTTTAATTTTGCACATTTGTTTTTAAAAAAAGTTTGAGTACCTAGGTGTGCAAAAAAAATTTAAGCTTTGAAATGGTTTTTTACAGGCAAAAATTGTCATCTTTTTATTCCTCGTTTGTTTAATTGAATCATTGTACGCTGCATCTACGGATCAAAATTACGAATCTGATGATGCCAAGCCTGAAGCTACTAAGACTTCTGAAACCCCAGAGAAGAGCTCGGAATCAGGCCCCGGCAGCATATTAGAAATCTTCAAGAAATTTCAATCTACGATAAGTTTTGAAAAAATATTTGCCCAGTTTATGAACAATCAGAAAAAAGGAGAAAGTAAGGATTGAGATGGCCCTTTTGAATTGAACAACTAAAGCAAGAAACAACTTTTACGACTAAATAAACAGGCAAACTTCAATTTATTTTTTTCTATGTGACAAGCCTAACATTCCGATTCCAATTCTGAATCACGTAAATTGACATGAAATATAAAATGTAAATAACGAACTGAAAATATTATAAATGATTATTGGGAGAATTTTTGTTCAAAAATTTCAACGTTTAGATTCAATGGGTTCTTCAAAATTATCTTTTTAGGTAGAGATAGGAACTTAATTATTCAAAGCCGCCGTTAAACAAATGTAGATACGTGGGTACCTGGGGCGTGTATAGAGATTTCAGACAGGATATGCACTAAAAAAAAAACATACCAATTTACATTTGGATAAGTGGCTTTTGAAGCGGCCGTGATATGTTAAGTCTTTGCGAAAATTAATTAAAATTTAAAATACAGTTTTTTTTTTTTGTATTATAAACTGTAACTTCTTTAGTAAAAATTCTAAATTAGTTAATCTTTATAAATCAAAACGACATACCTGCACGGAACACATATACTAGGAGAAGAAGCTGAATTATACTTAAAATGACAAATACTTTCGCGTTTCGTCTGGTGAGTGAGGTAACCGGAGCCCAATTTTCAAAAGGTTGTCAACGCACCTGTAACCCTCGGGTGTAGCAGATGTCCATGGGCGGCGGTATTCACTTAACATCAGTTGACCCGTCTGCTCGTTTGGCAACTTTTCGCATATAAAAAAAATCCGTACATAAAAATTGAACCACATTATACTACTAGCGCCTCAGTAATATAGTACTAGCAAATAACTATTTACTTCTGTACATACAAATTACAATTTAACTTAAGAAAGTAATCAAAGCAAATAAACTTACTATATAATTTAAACTCATTATTCTTTAAGAACATTTATAACACAAAAGAACGTATTACGAAAATACACACGCAAACAATAAAATTAACAACAACAATTTAAAAAACAAAACCAACAAATTATAATATCCTAATGTACCAACAAATAATAATGATGAATAAATTAAACAATACAATGACCCAACTAAAGAAAAAATATTTAATAATCTAACCCAAAGACTTAAAGATACTTATTTCATTTGTTTCTTAACGCATTAACTTCAGCTCAACAAATTTGTCAATCAAAAGCCTAAAATATAAGTTTTATGCTTCTAGTTCTAAAATTGACAATATTTTCATACAACCTTTTATACCCATTTTCAATCCTTTACAACACTTTTTTCTCAGGTTCTAGACTATCTGTGTACCAGATTTCATTTAAATCGCTTCAGTAGTTTTGGCGTAAAAGCGAGACAGACAGACAGATGAGATAGACAGAGTTACTTTCACATTTATAAAATTATATAGTATATCACTATATAGTATATAGTGATATAGTACTATACTAGTAATATAGTATATATAGTATATATAGTATGGAAAGTATGGATATACAGTTCGCACCCGGTAGGTACCATAATTGAATTTTTATCGTATATATACATTTTTATCGTACCTATATAGTAGACAGACAAGTGATACATCGAATTATAACTACACTTAACATCTACATAAATAAAAATACTATGTTTGTTTGTTCCTAATCCTAAAACTTTGAACTTTTGAGATGATGTTGCCATTATATTCCTTAATGTTTTAAATTTTTTTTAAATAGATTAATTACTAGCAAAAAGCTAAGCTTTGTAAGGGCTCGCGTAGTTCTTCTAACTGATAATAATTTTTAAAACCGTTTTTTAAAATTATTATTTTTGATGTGAGTTTCGGCCCATATCATTTTTACCGAAGTAAATAATTAACACGATTTTCATTTTAGATATTTTTTTATTTATCAAACATTGTTTAGTACTTATTTTATTTGTGTGACATTAGGTTTCACATACGGATTTCTTTCTGCTTCCTACATGTTAACAGATATCAATCTGTAATAGTGAAAATGGGGCGGGGCCAAGTAGGAAAGCGCGCTGAATGTCCCAGAGCGCCAGTAGAGAAGAGGGGAGTTGCTCCCCGGGAGGGGGCTGCTGAGGCGGCCAGCGCTGGCAGGGTCGCGGAAGTGTGCAAAAGCGTTCCCGTGACCCTGCCGATTTGCGCCTAGGTGGAACATCGTGGGTGTTTTAGTCAGCGCTCTAAAAAAAAGGTGACCAAGCTACTAAGCTCCTCCGCCACGGTAAGGCGGATACTCGGTCGAAGGGGTTTAAATCGATATTATACTGTTATAAACTGGTGAACTTCAGCAATTAATTGTCATAATAATTATTACCGTATGTTATAAAAACTACGCGAGTCCTCACAAAGCTCAGCTTTTTGCTAGTATACTACATCTTCGACACAACCTAATGCTCCATTGACTAACCCATTTTCAACCCAAACATTAATTGGACGTAACATAACTTTTCATCCAATCGATTAAATAATATAATGTTCAGGGCCAACTAATAGTTCTGCGCCTAGTTTTGCCTTAGAACAGTTATGATAAGCTGGAATATAAGCAACTGGTTGACGTAATTCTTTCAACTTTCGATTAATACCAAAAATTAACTTAAAATCAAAAATTTCATCTACACCACCTCGATGTATAGCATTCCACAACAGCGCGATTTTCAAGGCATTTCCTGCCTCGCATAAACACTGAGCAACCAACGCCTGCCGACGATGTTTCCGAACCGTTACCCCCATTTATAAACCCTCGGTGATGCAGTTGTTCATAGTTGGCGGTAATCACTTACCATCAAGTGAGTCTCTCTTCAGTTTTCTAACAGATGGCGTTAGTAGTACAATAACATTGTATCCAATAAATACAAAAAAAAAACAAATTAATTTTTTTTGGCAGATAACTTATCTAGATATGAAGTTAAATTACTGTGTGTAGTGTATGTGAAGGTATTAATTAAACACCTGCATGTTCGTATACAACTACCCTACTACATTACACGTATAGATACCACTGTCTCGAACGCAACACGTTAGTATAACGAGAGCCACGGGCGAAAGTGAACGTGTAGTGGAGTTTCATAGCTAAACTAGTGCGTGTTCGAGCCTGTGATTATCTTCGATCAGTTACACGTCATAAGTCTACAATTGGCGACGATGAGAAAAAAGGTTTGGATTTTTTCATGGTGGTTTTAGCCAATAAAAAAAATAGCAATTCATATTTTAAGTGATTAGAGTTTGCTATTTGCTACTTGTGCTGTAATAAATTAATTTGGATTATTAATTGTGAATAAAATAAAAATAAAAAACGAAATCTAACAGAGCCTTAAGATAACTGTTATTCTTTAAATTTGTTACTTGTGTATTGCAAAACTAGAAAAAAAAGCATAAAAAGGGGGAAGGAAAAATAGAAACATTACGTTTAAATTACATCTCGTTAATTAAGTGAAATACTGTATGATTATGTTGGTTGTCGAATATTAAACTTGGCTATCGTTAAATTGGCTTTCTGATATAAGAAAGATTATGCCATCATTCGATGGGGTACCGGGTATTTAATATCATTGATTATAAGAAATTAAGATACGACCATGAAATTGGATATTGGGTATAAAAATACCACCATGAAATTGGATATTGGGTATAAAAATACCACCATTAAATTGGATATTGGGTATAAAAATACCACCATTAAATTGGATATTGGGTATTAAAGAATACCACCATTAAATTGGATCATGGGCATTAAAGAATACCACCATTAAATTGGATCATGGGTATTAAAGAATACCACCATTAAGTTGTTTGGAATTACAACGCAATTTATATACCAAAGTATGTAATATTTATTTTCAGGTTACCTATCTATTTTAAAAAATGGCTAGCATGATACCAGCGCTAGATACATTAAACTTAGAGGTAGATAGTTCCTCATTAGCTATATCATGGGAAAAATGGAAGAGATCGCTTGAAATTTATGTTGAAGCCTCTGATATTACTCTACCGTCTAGGAAGAGAGCTACACTATTACACTATGGGAGCCAAGGACTTCAAGAAATTTTCAACAACTTGCCGGGTGCAAACATCGAGTTATCAGAACATGGGGATGTATATGAAGTGGCCATAAAAAAACTCTACGATTATTTTGTACCTAAACAGAGCAAGGTTTACGAAAGGCATATTTTCAGGCTATTAAAACAAGAAAGTGATGAAAAGTTAGAAAAGTTTCTAATAAGATTACGCAAACAAGCTGTAAAATGTGCATTTGAAAAGCCAGATGAACACATCGTTGACCAAATTACGGAAAAATGTGCTTCAACAGAGTTAAGAGTTTAAGTTTTTAGAACTAGTTTGGTTAAGGTTGTCACTTACTTTGATTTCATGTCGGCAAGTGTATAGAACACAGTCGGGTTCTTATGTTAATTAGAAAAATCCCTACATAATTAAATTATTAAGACTTTTTCAATATTTCATTCTGCACTACGTCCCAAAAATAGCCGGAAAACTGAATTTCATAAGTGTAGAAATATATAAAATGTTTCAAGTATGTAACTATATTTATTTTTTTTTATTTAATATGCTACCTGCATATGCCGAAATGACTGAAATATGCCACGTGAAATAGATCTGCTGTTTCACCGGAAATTATAAAAAATATTTTGAAGAATTGGAAATATCACTGAATGGTGTATCGATGTGCAACATCATTAATTACGACGAAACCAACCCTTCTGATGACTGACCCTGACCGTAAAAAAATAATCACAAAAAAAGGCGTAAAATATGCAGAACGAGTGATGAACCACTCCAAGTCTGCCTATTCTATCATGATCGCGTGCACAGCAGAGGGAGAACTATTGTATCCTTATGTTGTGTACAAGGCGCAGCATATATATGATACTTGGACTGCAAAATTGTGTCATAAAGAAAAAAAAATCATATTTCTGCCAGCTAACACAACGCACATTACTCAGCCATTGGATGTAGCATTTTTTAAACCGAAAAAAACTGCTTGGCGAAATATATTGTGCC